GCATCAGTTTGAAACTATTACAGTAACCTTTGAAACTAAAGCCAATGGTCCCCCTAGACTCTGTTTCGATTCTTCAAGCATTTCTGTAACTTCACTTTCATGTGTTTTCAGCTGGTTGTAGAGATCATTCAAGGTGGTTGTATCAAAACTTTGTTGGTTCTTTATCATCATACTCACACTACGTCATTCTGTGCGAAGACCCATGATGAATGTTAGATTGAATTTAATGAGAGATCTTGAGATTCCATACCGGCTGCAACAATAAATAAGCTCATTCAGATGATCATAGTAGTTTTCAATTGTTTCAGCATCCTTTTGTCTGAATTCCTTAAGTTCAACAAGACATTGCTTAACGGAATTGATCTTTGTCTTCTCACTTCCTTGATATTTCTCTTTCACTGTGATCCAAATATCCTTGGCTGTAATTGTAAACCACATGAGGCAGAGCACCTCTTAGTTCCCTCATACATCTTTTCTCATTCTTCTTCATGCGATTCTGTTGTTCAACAACGTCATTTGAAGAAGCAGATGATCCGATTGTTTGAACATTTTCAGGAGGTAGAACTTTTCCACTGATACAATTCCAGAGTTCTTCATCAATTCCATTTAGGTAATCCTCCATCATATCAGCCCACTGATCATAGTACTCAGGGATTAACATTGGAATTTTGGTTGAAGAACCAAGCAAGTGAGAGAAAGAAGTTGTCACACCCCAAAACCACGAACGGTGGAAACGTTCAGGGGTGGAGGACGTCATGTACAGTATCACAACAGTGTAATGTAATAAACAAGCAACAACATCATCCATTGCATTATAAGTAAAGTTTTAATACATGTGTGTTTCTTTCATTGTAGTAAGACACCAAAAATATACAATCAAAATAAAAGACGAGACTTGTCTGCTCCGTCTTCTCAAAAACCTGGCCTCCGTACCTGTCTACTGATGACCTGAGAATACAAGTTATTTTGAAAGCGAGTATCAGCTTTAAAGCTGGTTATATAATTCATAAGTATATAAGTGCCATTGCCTTGTTTGTGAAAATCTGTTATAAAGGCCATGTAAATCGTTAAATGAAAATGTTGATGTACGTATGAAAACCCTAGAAAAAACCCTTATTTTCTATAAGTATGAAATGTAGTCTTCTACCAAGACGCGAATGTTTTGTAAGTAAAATGATAGTTTTCCTTTAATTGTTTAGTACTAAAGTACTTAGTCTAACTCATCGTTTATGTGAAAGAATCACAAAATAAAGTAAACAGGAAAATGTACTACTGTAAGTGTTGTCACTAGGTACTAGGACCAACACATCATATGTAACTGTTATCCCAAGGTACTAGGGTTAACACAACCTATATAACCTAATGAACATCCGAAGATTGTCCAATTGTCCTCTGTAGCAGCAGCAGGGGGAAGGAAGGGTTAGTCCCTTTAAAGGTACTCCTAATATAAGTAATAACCGTAGGCATCCGTAGATGTTCATCACCCACTGTTGCTAACAGATGGGTTCCGGAATGGTTAGTCCCGTACGTATATCCCGAGATACTGTGGGATAGAGGCCCATCTAGATATCCCGAGGTACTGGGGATAGGGTCCTGTCTAGATATCCCGAGGTACTAGGGATATGCAGGAAGATTTAAACAGAAGGTACTAATAAATCATCCTTTGCAATTCGAGATACAAGTATTCATGTAAATGTACATAACTAAGTGTATCTACGTAAAGGTACTCATGTAATGCGTTCATGTACGCGTATTCATGTATCATGTAAGTATATGTAAACGTACTCATGTATCATGTAATCAAATGTAAAGGTACTCATGTATCAGGTAATGTACTCGTATAGACTCATGAATGAACTGACTCTTGTGTGATTCCTTGTAATAGGAATTATGTTTGATATCTCCAAATTATCCCTATGATAGTTTGCTGGAAGGTAATTGGTTGTTCAAGTAGGTTTATACACTCTTACTACTCAAGGGTGTGAGAAACCAAATGAAAACTGTAAACTATAACATTCATACATATATAAGAATATAAGTGTACATGCATAGTTTAGTTCAATAATGTAAAATGGTTTTATAAGACCTCTTATGGGTTTTTGAACAATAATTAACAATGACTTGATGTCATTTATAATATACATTTCAAAGGTAAAACAATTGATAACAATGCGTTTTTAAGATTTAAAACCATTTCATGCATCACATTTTGTAGTATGTGAAATCTGTTAAATGACAAACACTGTTATGAAATACATAACAATGATTTAATAACATGTTTGTTTCTACTTGTATTCCCCCCCCCCCTTTAAAGCATTTAAAATCATTTAAAACATTGATTAGGGGTATGAACTCACCTGTAGTTGGTGATTGGAATGAAATGAACGGTATCGGATGGCTAGGTGTCAAGCGAGGGCTTGTGAACACACTACGATCCTAATGAACATATAATCACACATATATGCACTCAATTAGACACAATTGACTAATTGATAATGTTTAAGACATCCTAGGCATAATAAACACTTTATATAAGTGTTTTAAGCCATAAGGATTGCATCTAAGCTATTGTGGGACAGGGTATTTGTGTTTAGGGTTTCCAAAGGACCCCATATGAGAGTTTACTCTCTCTAAACCATCACACATGGAGTTTACGGTTGTAAACTCTTGAGTTTACGGCTGTAAACTCCCAAACATGTGTGTTTGGTGTGTTTTGAAGTCCCAGATGCTTTCTAGAATTGTTCTAACTTAGTGGCTAAGTCCTTGGAAGGGTTTAAGGTCTTGAAGTACTCCAATTAGGAGTTTACGGCCTCAATGCCATTACCCTTAGAGTTTATGGTCGTAAACTCTAAGTAATGTGGGTTTTTGTTGTTTTCAAGCCTCTTGCACTTATGGGATATGTTCTAGACTTTTATTCCTAGCATATGAAGGCATTAGGCACACCTTAGTGCCCTTTTTAGGAGTTTACGGCCCAAGAACCATGTCTTGGCCGTAAACTCACTTTGTTAAGTGATTTTGATGTGGTTTGGTCCTTCCATTAAGTGGGTACAATTCCTTGTAAAGGTCTAGGGCTTTAGGTGTCATGAAAACACCCTTTTTGTCCATTTCAATGGAGTTTACGGCCTAAGCTTCTCTTGGGCTGTAAACTCACTTTTGTTTGTGTCATTTGATGTGTTTAAGACCTTGTGCTACTTGGGGAAATAGCCTAGATACAAGCTCTAAAGTCCTAGTATCCTCAAAGCACCATTTAGTGTTAGAATATGGAGTTTACGGCCTAAGAGGGTTCTGGGCCGTAAACTCCCAATATTGGGTGGATTGTGGCTTGTTTTCTTGTCCCTAACATGCATACATAAACATATAAGGCCTTATCATAACACAAGTATCGGTTTTGGCTTCGTTTCGGGAGTTTACCGCTCAAGAACACCTCGAGGTGTAAACTCCTAGATTTCATGTTTTAGCCTTCTAAAACATGTTATAGACACGTATAAGGGCTTTCTAACATTACTATAAAGAGTTACTCACGTTTTGGTATAAAAACTCGAAGATCCGTCAGAGAGAAAATGGCTTTTCTCTAGTCGGAAATGTGAATAATGAATGATTTTGGTTTAGAAATCTATTTATAGTCCTGAGATATTTTGGAAGAAAATATTTTTATTCCTGAAATGATCCCTAATAAATTAGAGTGTTGGAATAACAGTGTTGCACCAAACCCAAGTGCACCCACTCTCCTGATATTTCCTGAAGTGTAAACCCTGAATTTCTCAAACTTACGCGAAGAGTCTGAAAATTAACTGTGACTGCTACTACTTCTATTGAAGTGATATAGTTTGTACAGAATGGAAATTTCAGGTTGTCACAGAAGTCATGGTATTCATGTTGAAGTTCGCCATTGATGAACACGAGAATTTTTCAGAAAAACTTGAAAAACTTGATGATTTTGTGAATTGATCGAATGAATTGATCACTAATTGCTAATCGATAACTCGACTAAACAATTCAAATGCATAATCAATTCAAATATGAAGATAAAGAGTGATTTTTAGAACCAAAATGCGCGGAAATTTTTTGAATAAAAACACTACTCAAAAAGCAAATGATTCTAAAACGAAAATCAGATCAATGCAGTTTGAATCCTGCTCTGATACCAATTGATGTGAATTGTAATTGATATTTAGAAAGCAATCATGATTATTTGAATGAAAAGTAAGAACACAAGGAGTAAATATTAATCAAATCTTATATTGATGAAGAAACTGATTAAAAACTAAGTAGAGAAAAACTTATCTCTACTTCTAACCTCAGTCCCTATTTATAGGAAACATGAGTGTACAAAAAAATATACTAAGTCCTGAACAATAAGCTTCGCACAAATTAAGACTTAGTAAAATAACTAACATGCGAAATTCAAAACAGACACTTTGACTTTTACAAAAACTAGACTTTTACAAAAATTAGACACTTAGTAAAATAGACTTAGTTAATTGGTTAAGTAGTTGTAAATTGTATTCTGGTTTTCTTTGTGATGCTTGCATGGAAGACCAATAGGTGACTTTTGGCACTTGTCTGTAAGACCCCGGGTTTTGGCCCCCGGTCTTACAAGGAAGACCATGATACGACTCGTGGAATAATGACAATACTATGGTTGGCACATAGCACTTTTATTGATTACTGGATATGTATGATATGTATGACGTGTTTGATATGTATGGTATGTGGTATTTACGGAATTCACTAAGCTTTGTGCTTACAGTGTGTGGTTTATGGTTTCAGGTACTTCCAGTTCGAAAGGGAAGGGCCCGACTTGAACGCAACGCATATACTTGTTTTTTTCCGCCACTCATGATTTTGGGATTTAATCTGATATATTATTTCATTCTGGAATACTTTAAATTTTTGAATAAATGAAAATGGATGTTTGAATTTATATATATAAATGAAATTTTCACCCATGATTTTCAGGATGTTACAATAATGTTGTTTAGTTGCCTTTGCTTCTCTATTTACAAGGCATGTTGCCTTTTCTTTTCTTCTTCAGAAAGAGTCAACGTAATACCTTTTACTTTATCTCCTTGATCGTCTTTTGAAGGTGGTGGCATAAAATTCAAACTTGAACCTCTATCTGTTTCATTTATAACGATCCCTTTCTTGATTGGTCCTGTTGTGGTTCTTGTTGAATTTTTGGTTACTGAAATAAGAAGTGAAATGGGTATTTTAGTTGACATCACTTTTCCAACCACTGCTTCTTTTTCTGAATCCTTTGAAGACCCAATACAACTATATCCTTTATCTCCCCCTTGCGACAGTTGCAAAACACGAGGAGCATTGGTTGGTAAGCGAAGAACCAACTCAAGGATGGGTGCAAACTTTGCTTTAATATTTTCTTCAATGGACGAAATCAATTGAGAAATTGATTCTTGAAAAACAGACGATTGAGTCGAAAGACCAAATTTCGAAATCGATTCCTTGATGCTAAACATGAATTCTTCCAGCTTGGCGAACACCTGCGAATCCTTCTCTGATTTTTTTTGTCAAGCTTAGTCGAATATTCAGTATTAAAATCAACTAACTTGGCGATATCATCTGCAATAACATCAACCTTGCTATGTAAGACAACATAATTTTTGTCGACCTTTTCAACCTTGTTAGTTATATTTGATTTAAGTTCAACCACCTTTAGATCCACATACTCTTTCATATTTGTCACTTGTTCCTAAAAAATATCATGATGCTCCTTGGCCACATCATGAAGCTTTTGAAGTTCATACTCAATCCTTTTAGAATGAACATTCAACCTTCAATATGTTTCTCTTCAAGGCTTTCAACCAAGTTATGAAGACGATTCTCCTGAGACTTTAACAAGTACTCCATCTCTACCCCAGTAACGAAATTCCTCCCCCCCCCCCCCCCAGTATTTTCTTGAATGTGAAGAAGATTATTGAATTTTGAGTTAAGGATTTTGAACTCTTTACCTGACATGATCATATCATCAGGAACGTTACCGTCTTCCAGGTCAAATTTCAGATCAACAAAAAAAAAACAATCATGAACGTTACCATCTTCCGGGTCAAATTACAGATCAACAGAAGAAACAATCACATCATCATCATTCAGTTCGACATCAAGAATTACTCTCTCTGCTTCAGTAGATTGAGATGAGAAAAGGGTAGTAATGGGTTCATGCATAATTGTGGAGTAAGTTGGTGAAATGGTTGAAACTGGTGATAAAGTTGGGATAGGTGATGAAAGTGGTGGTAACGAAGTGGATGTTTCAATGGTAGAAATGATTAAAGTGGGAATGGTTGATGTTGTACGAGTTGAAGTAACAAAATCATCTTTGTTCGGCACCCCTTCATCTATATTGACATTTGTGTCTATATAAGATACATTCACAATGATATATGGAGTTAGAACCTCCCCCTTATTGGACTTGGTTTGTAAAACCCCGGGTGGTATGACTGTAGTCTTCTCAGGGATGGATATTAATGTGTGTTCACTCGAATTGGTATTTGTATCCATATTAGATACATTTACATTGGAACCAGGATTTCTTCTCTCCTTGAAAATCAACTTGATTGGAGAATCCCTTCGAGGTGACCCAAGCCCAAAATCTTCATAACAATTATCTTCACTTTCACTATCATTATTTGTTTCGATAGATACTAGATCAAGTGGATCTTGATGCTTTTTCTTATTTTTGCTGTAATTCTAGGCCATATCGAATGCCCTTCGTTTCTTCGAAGCGGGATAAGTAGGAACATGAATGTATCTAAATAGCACACCTCGTTTGTTGAATTGGGGCTTGTGAATCTTCCTTATACCATTCTAAGAAGAATGAGTATGCGAAGAATCAACCTGGGGTTGCTCAATTGTATCAATTTCAGGTTCTTAACCTGATGGCCTGACTGGAGAACCACGAAGCCTCTTGGCTGGCTTCTTGGTTCGCTTGAGCATACCAGCCTTCAAAGCAATTACTTCTTTAGCAACTTCATCCACCGTAAGTTGTGGTTTCTCAGTTTGTGGTTTCTCGTTCTACTTCTTCTTCTTCTTCTTCTTCTTCTTCTTCTATAATTCTGCATCTTTATAAAAACCCTAAGCTCCTTTTGGTAGAAGAACACCAATAGAAATATTAGCATCAATGGATGCCAATTACAAAACAAGAATTGGGTTTTTCTGATGAATACGTCTCAGCATTGCATATGGAATTCGAGTAACACTTGGAAAAATAACTGGATCATCAACAACAAGTCTTAAAGTAGCCAATGTCGAAAACTCATCAATTTCGACATCTGAAGCAACCGAACCCCCTTCTTGTTCATACACCTCCTTGAGAATCAAACTCCAATATTGGGCACATGAAACATCATTTGTCAGATTGGTGTGAATAATTGTTGATTCAAATTCCTCCTATAGTTGTGTGGCATAATGAACATTCAAACCATAGTATATGCCAACAAGCATCGTATAAACTTCCAATTTTGATTTTTCTAACCCTGAACTACGACCAGCTAAGCATCGCAATATGATAGCAAAAAGAAAACTCCATACACAAGGAATATTCAAATTTCTAAATAGACTAATTCCATTTAGAATTGGTTGATACGCCATTTCACTAAACATGTGAAGAACTTGTTTATTAGTGACCATATAAAATTACCTGAAGCAGGCAACTTCATGATATGTGCAAACTGCTTCTTAGTAAGATTTCGCATGATGTTATTCGTTAGTTGAAACGTAACCACCTTTATCTTTTTGTTGAATACTATCGTGGAACCAGCAAGAGATGTGCAAGTCATTGGAACTACAAACGATGATGATAACACAGTGGAAAAGAACATAGTGATTTAGGGCTAGAATCAACATCTGTAATTGTTTTGGATATTGATCAAATGTTGGCAATAAATGAAGATTCATGTTTTGAATCTTCATCAGGGGTTGTGAAATTTCTTCTTCATTGGTGGTGTTTGTAGGATCAACATTGGTGTTAGGAGCCGCCATTGTTGGGATTGCAAGGATTGTTGAAGACGATGAAACACTGATGATATTGTGAAATATGTTTTGATAGCATAAAGTCTGAAAATAATATCACTAATTTCCTTTTATAATCGATGAATTATTTGAATTTGAACTGGTAACCAATAAGACACTTCCACATTTTTCATTGGTTATTTAACTCGTCACCGTAAAAATTGCCACGTCATAAAAGTGGCTATCATGTTTTCGTCAAATCCCAAGAAGATCCTAAACCGTCATGTCCTTCGGATCTTTCGTTGTTCCCAACCGGATAAGAATCGTAACTTATTTCAAACTATGAGCAAGGACATCTTTTTGTTTCGACACCAAAAGAATATCACTCCTTCGCATTGAGGTAAGGCTCATTTGCTTTTGGGATTTGAAAGCGACATCATATGACAGACCACAGACCTTGTGAAATATAGGTTTCGAGTTGGTATTACCCAAAACCTCAAGGATTCCAGTGCAATTGTGTGCCAAAGAATGAGTGAGAAGCAATTTTTAAAAAAAAATGTGGTTATTGTGATATCAAATTACACTTGATACGAAAGAAGTTGGATCCCAGTCAAATATGGCTTCATTCGACATTAAGAGAAATAACGAACTGCTTGTGTGGTTTCCCATGAAATACAATCGAATACTTGTTGATGGGCATCAAAGGGATTGTTTTCTCATTGGTTTCGAAAGGTAGGCTCATTTTACTCGATATCACAACTTAACATAAGTGTGATTGAATTGATCAAAATTACTTGGATGACCAGTTTAGTTAAGAACAAGTATGTTTGGATATGATTTAGAGTAACAAGAAATCAGGAAGATATTTAGACAAAAATCACATTCCAAAAAAAAAAAATAGTATTGGATCTTGTTGGGAAAAAATGTCTTGGTTTTTGGAACATTTCATCAAGATCATGCATGTCGAATGGAATATGATTTTGAATATCTGAAAGGTACTGAAACAAGTGTTTTGTTATAATCTTGAACAAAATGTTTAGCGTCAATCATTGATTAGTTGAGGTTGGTGGGTTTCACGATCATCACGTAAAAATGACTCAGGATCATAAACACGGAGTGTGGCAATATCTACATTCTGGTAGGTTTCAACCAGAGATATCGAGGATATGCATTGAAGTGTGTGATTATGACAGAACTCTGGTGAAAAAAATTATGTGTAAGAACTCATTGTACCTCTACAAAATATATTGACATTGCAGAAATCTCTTTACTCAATATGAGAAGAGAAGGGTAGCTCTTCGACTAATGTGAATATAGCCTAATTGGGAATAAACACTCATAATGAGAGTTCCATTAAGGTTTCGAACACATAAAGTCTATGAGGCTTGAGGTATACATATAACAACATGCTTCTAGGGACACATAACAGTACAATAGTTCAAAAGAATACTTGTCCATTAGATAGATATGATCATGGAGCATGCACCACAATAATATATTGTGACAGTGAGACGCGAAAAGTTAAGCAAAATATGATATAATAACAAAAAAAAAAAAATCCTTTTTGAGTTTTTGTTTTTGAAAATCAAATGACAAAAATAAGAAAATCTTTTTGAATTTTTGTTTTTGGAAAGTAAAGACAAAAATAAGATTTTTTTTTTTGGATTTTTGAATTTTGAAACAAAATAAACAAAAACAAACTTGTAAAATGTTACCCAGTGACGTTCGGCATAGTAAGCAGCAACCCCCAAAGATATTGTACATCGAGCAACTTTCTCCCCCACAATGTGAATTAGCATCAAAATGATTCAGAGGAAATGCGAATGTGAACGCTGAATGAGAACAATAACCTCTGAACAATTTAGAAAAAACACCAGTAGAATCAAAACCTTTTCTATCAAGAAGAACATGGAGCAGAACTTGCTTCGATCATCCCCAAACCATCCAAAATCCTTAAAAACGACTTCTTATCTAAAGGTCATGTAAAAATATCTACAAGTTGATCCGTTGTTTTCATAAAATGGACCTCAATGTTCCCGTCTTCTACATGTTCTTTTATGAAGTGATAGCGAAGAGCAATGTGTTTGGTTTTCAAATGTTGAACTGGATTATGGCAGATGCGAATGTCACTTTGCGAGTCACAATACAAATGAAATTTCTTCATAGTGATTGAATAATCGTGTAGTTGACTTTGTATCCAGATAACTTGAGATGTGCAAGTTGCAACAACCACATACTTTGCTTCTGCAGTCGAAATCTAAACAAACGTTTGTTTCTTCGATTGCCAACTTACTAATTTGCCATCCAATAATTGACATCCGCCAATCGTGCTCTTTCGATCAGGTTGACAACCATATAGATTTGCATCTGATAATGCTTTTATAAAGAATCATGTCTTCGATGGATACCATAGACACAACAAAATTGTTCCTTTGAGGTAGCGAAATATGTTCTTCACAACATTGAGATGGGGTTCTCTTGGGTTCGTTAATGACAAATATGTATCCGTTTGTGTACCATCGGTTAGAAGGGAAGAATGGATGAAAGGAAATAGGAAGATGATGTTGATCCAACTCTTTTTAAAGGCCTGGTTCATGAGAAATAGGAGAATATTATGATTATATGTGTTGAGACTCCTCTAAATAATGCTATTAAAAAGACAACATAAAAAAAGTAAAAGAAAAAGAGACATTCTAATACAATCAATTATTATCATTTATTCAATCTCATGGCTAAACTATTTTTTTACATACCATTTTATTTTTTTCCACACTTCATACTTCGACATAGCTAGACAATTATGTATTCAATAAAAAATTACCGAAATGATTTAATTCACATGTAATTTGTAAGATTGACAGGGTTGAAAAAGAATATTCAATCACCATACATGATAAAAAAATGAGTGTGTTAGGGTGATAATTTTTTTTTTAAAAAAACGAAAAAATAATAATATGATAATAGTATATGTTGCCACCATGGATCAACCCTAATTTTTTCAACCCCAAACTTTTGGTGGTCGGACTTTCTTCTGATCGGACTATCGAAGGTTTTCGTAGGTTGATACTGAGCTTCAATAGAAAAAATGTAAGTTTTAATCGTAGGTTTGATCATTAACGCAATGCAAATTTCGAGATGGGTGTTACTTGGATCAATTCCATTTGACTTAACTTAATTTTCTGTGTATGAATTTAGGAGGTCTTCGATCAAACGCCCGCCCACTCCAGACGCAGAGGAGGAAGAACATGATCGAGAACCTACTCTTCAAGAAATCATCAACATCAAAGTACGATATAATCATAGTTTCATGAAATTTTGTTTAAATCAAGTTGCTGAATTTGAAAAACGGACCAAATGAAGTCGCTGAATCGGGACTTGGAGAGAACAATTCATTAATTTGGCTACTTTTTTTTTCTTATTTGTACTTGTGATTTCATTGGATTGTTATAGTTGATTGAGAGTGGCGAGAAAGAACGACTGAAGGAGCTTCTGAGGGAAAGGCTTATCGAGTGTGGTTGGAAAGATGAAATGAAATCACTTTGCAGGTTCTCCCTCCCTCTCTGTGTGTGTGTATCGATACAGTCGTATAAGTATGGTATTTGGGAGCTCTCCCAAAAGATTGCTTATAATGTCGTTAACCATGGTTACTTGTTATCATAAAGCTGAATTCCTAAAATCAAAGAAATGGTGTAGGTAATAAGTAATAACTTGAACATCATTCAACAAGACATGTTGCTAAAGCTCTTTCTTTTGGGCTAAATAAACAAGAACTGCACATTTCATTGAAATAATAGTAGATGCATTTCAATTTCAAACCATTGTGCTTCATAATTCCATCTGTAAACATTCAACACAGTTGCAGACACTGATTTGAGATTGATGCATTGACTTATAAGATTATGCTTCCCAAAATTGTATAAGTTTTTTATTTCCTTTTAATTAATTATGACAGATCATTTACAAGGAAGAAAGGAAGGAGTAATGTAACTATTGATGACCTTGTTCATCTCATTACACCAAAAGGCAGAGGTGAGTTATGCTTGTTCTCTTTGTTTCCACTAATTCATATTTTATGTCATAAATATTACATGAAAACAACAACATTTTCTTATTGGAAAACTTTCAAAGATTATATGTTTTCGTATCATTATCATTATAAATCAGTTGGTTATATCGATTTGATTCTGTAAAATATTTTTATCTTTGTCTCCTTTTGAGGTATGAAATATCATCCAAGTTTTCGGAATACACTAGTTGAATTTTCATTGAAAAAAAAAAGACACCTAATTGAGTATTTTTTTTTTTATGCAGCTGCTGTTCCTGATTCTGTAAAAGCTGAGCTATTGCAAAGAATTCGATCTTTTCTTCAATCAGCAGCTCTTTGATTACATTGCGATTGTGAAATGTTTTGAGAGTCGAAATCTCATGTAATATCACTTGCATTTGCAATACTTACATTTGTGTAGTTTACAAAAAAGAACCATTTTATTTATCCCTTTGAAAATCATCTTGGAATATTATGTATGTTTAATTCGTTTATACCATATTTCTTAATTGTATATTCATTATCTTGTAAAATCTAAAATTCCAATGATTATGGTATTTGCAACTTTTACATAGCCGAGAGATTGACATCAAACATTTTTCTTGATTGGATATATAATTAGTTTTTGTCGTATTGACATCAATCAGATTAAGTCTTGTCCAATTCATATCAAATACAGGTTAGGACGATAGTTTTGTCATTTCTTATATTAAACAACTATTAATAATTTTTTTTATCTGATATTAATCTAAATTATTGTGTTTCAATATCAGGTGTCATGACAGTGATTGATATGACACCTGATCTTGAAATGCAATAAATATAATTTTTTTTAGAATATGGTTTTATGGTTTTGTGTAGGATAGCTGTGGTTTGTGATGATACTCTGGGATTCTGTTTGGAATTATGTTAGGCAAGTTGTGGGATTTCGAGATATAATGGTTGGACTTGGATCTGCATATCTTGAAAATATAACCGAGATTTTGTCGTATGATTCTATTTAATATAGCCCATGGATTCAAGTGTTATTATTATTTTCTATGATATTTTGTTTGAATTGTCAGGCAATATTTTGTCATAGATTCTATTTGTGTCATTTTATGTATTCTTCAAGGTGGTAATAATAGATTTGCAGTTGCACACAGTATTTTTTTTTATTTGTAAAATGTGGTTTTATAAAAAATAGAAATTTATAATTTTTTACATTTGTTGGGATATTTACTAATACAGTCCGTAAATTTTTTTTCCTACAAAAATAGTCTCTGTAACTTACAAAATGGTCTCTGTATTAATAGAAAATTACAAACATAGTCCCATTATAAAAAGTAAATTACAAAATGGTCCATGTTTTAATAGAAAATTACAAACATAGTCCCATTATAAAAAATAAATTAAAAAAACCGTACATGTAATTTATAGAATAGGTCCATATACATAACTCTTTTTACAATAATGCTTCCTATATTTCAAAAACCTACAGAAATGGTTCATTCCGTTTAGGGTTGTTCACTATTTGGTTAAAACCGAATTGTTCAATAGGATAATTTGGATTAAACTATTTGGTTCAGATATTTGGATTTTTTAATTGATTTTAAGTTGAACTGAATTATTATTTTGGATTTCGGATTGGTTTTAGTTTATAAAATAAGAACCGAATAATCCAGAATAACAACTTATTACTTATTTTTAATATATATATATATATATATATATATATATATATATATATATATATATATATATATATATATAATCATTTATCAATTTACTTAAATTGTTTTTTTAATTATTAGAAACTTTTATCCAATATAACGTCGTAATATGTACTTATAAATTTTTTTTGTCAATGAAATATTAAACTATAATCATTTTTTTAATAGTTATTTATAAATTATAATTCATAATAAAAAAGTTTTTTAGATACTTTTATAGAGTTGACTAATATTTAAGTTATATATTTTTTAAAATGTCACGTCACTTAAAAACCGAATTGTAAAAACTGATCCAACCGAATTGTAATTTTGTTGGATTAGATCGGATTTTAATTTAGTTTGGATTATTCGGATCTATGTTTTGAAAATTGAAATCTATTTGGATTTATTTGATCGGATCGGATCAAACCTATCAATTCAAACAAACACCTACTCCTACTTGTGTTCCTAATACTAAATTTACATGGCTATGTTTCATAAAATAATAGATATGGACCTGTTTGTTAGCAGATTTACATAAATGATACTTGTGTTTCACAAATTATAAAAATGTCCCCACTGTTCATAAAAATACCAAAATAATCTCTACCAAAAACAAAAATACAAAAATTATTCCTACTTTCATACAACTAGAGAAATAGTCGCTGTCTAATAACAAATTTAAAAAAAATGCTCCCTATGTAAAAGTACATTAGAAAATTTATATGAAAAAAATGTAGTTAATAAACCCGACCTGGAGCCACCCCATAAATTTTATGTACACTTGTTTTGGTTGTAGATAAGTTTTTGATTTTTTTTATTAAGTTTTTAAGTTTATGAAGTATTTCAATACTAAGGTGCTATTTTTTTTATTTATTTTTTTAAAAAAAACCACTTCAAACCACTTATTGCTGCGTCGCGCAACACATGCACAACACTTGACCATTAACAATTGTTTGTTTTTCAGAAGATTTCTGACTTAAAAACTGCTGCGCGTGTGCTGCGTGGCGCAACACTAAACTAACTGCTTCAAACCTTTTCACGCCTTAGTTTAACTTACTGCAGCAGTCTGCAGACGTTAAAAAACAAACATACTTTTTATTACATACTGCAGCCGTTTGTTCCACCTCTTTTGTACAGAGGATTACAGAGGTGGTTTGCAGACTTCACACAATTTCTCTTTGAAAAAACAAACATCACCTAAGATTTTTCTTTTCTAACATCCTGTTGTTGAGAATTATTTTGCAAGGACTTCTTTGCAAATTAAATAAATAAGTACAGAAATACATGGTGTTTTTGTACACAATTTTGAAGAAAATACATGTGTTTTAGCGTTTAAGTGTACTAATTAAAAACCCTACAAGGATTTATTTGTGAGAAATGTGAATTACATAGAAATTTCCTTAAAAAAACCTCTATAAGGATTTATTTGCAAAAATAAATATATAACTTTCTGATTAAAACCTGTAAAATAATTACAAAATTTTAGTTGTTTACTAATTTATTATATTAGTTATTACTTATTGTTTACTAATATAATACTTATAACCACGTTTTTATATAATTTTGTTATGAAATCATAAGAATGTACAAAACAATATTGGCAAGTCAAACTAACACGACCCATTTTGATGGCACCCGAAAATTATCTGTTTCAAGTATCAACACATCTATGCCGTTATGATCCTTATAAACTGTCTGTTCTTTATGATTTTAGCTAAAAGAAAAAGGTTAAGGGTAAATTCTGTTAAGTTTAGATAAGATTTGGGTATCAATTTTAAATTATATGGAATTCAAGACGACTTTCAAACCAGACCAAAATTCAGGGAAGAGGAAAATAAATAGCAAAATTTGATACCCCTGAAAACTCGCAAGTATGTTTAATACCTATATCTCAGGCTGTGTAATCCACGCGCTCAAAACTTGCATATTTATCACACCAAATCGTCCGTGAATTGCACGCGTATCTTATGCGAATTAGGATTGAGCGTACCGGAGCTTCTTAATTTCGAGCAATTTCGTTTGTGTTTTTATCAATTAAAGGATAAATAAAATTTTCCCCTAAAATCTTTTTATCAGACCCAAATTTTCGTTCGTCTTTTTAGTTTCCCTCTCTTTCTTTGGAGGGAAAATTTCCAATTTTTGAAGCTTTTTAATCGTTACTTGGTAATAATATTCAAAAGTTTTCAGCTGGATTGTATATATTTTGATTTATGGCATCGTTTTCTTTCTTTTGACGGTTGCTTCAATTCGCCTTGTTCGGACAGTTACCAGTTGCGAAGTGTTACTGAGCTGAGGGACTGATCGAACTGGAATCAGGTATGGTGATTTGAGAATGCAAATGCTTCAAATTAGCTTTCTTTATGTGTTGTTTGTGTTACTGTAGCTGATTTTTTGTTGAAAGTAGGGTTTTTAGGGTTTTTGAAATCGAGGTCTTATTGCTTGTTAAATACAGTTGGTTTAAGTATCTGCTTGCTCTGATTGTTTAAAATCTGAAGTTTAGTAGTCGCGTTATGTGTTTTGAGTTCTAATTTTTGTTGCATATGTTCTGGATTCAACGTTTTGCTCGTTTTCATTTTCGTTTGTACAGTAGATAGACATTTACTGTGTAGTGTTAGTAGAGTAATTTACGAAGTTTTCATTTAACGTTCTTGCTTCTTAGAAACCGCTGTAGGAGTCTTGTATGTAATTAAGTTTTCTTTGCCCATGCAATTCTTTTCATTTTATTTCAATGGTCAAACAAACTTGTCTAAAGAGACTTTAACACATAAACTTGAGGGTTATCTATCCACTGATGCTATTGAGCAAATGGCACTTGGCAATAAAACTAATATTATCAAATGAGAGAATTCAGTTTTCAGTTTTCAGGTATCTTAAAATGTAAAAGAGGCTTCTAAGTATCAAGTTCAAAGGGTTTATTTAGTTTTATATATTGAAAGTTCTAGCTGTGAATCTTGTGATTGTTATTTTGGTATCAAGATTCCCTTGATTCAGATCATCAAGAGTCTTATTTCTGTTCCTACATTAAGTTTCAAAGTTTTAAATAAATAAAACTTCCATATTGTTGACTAGATTGATTATTATCTTTCACTTTCCTGTAGCTGTGTTAGGCAACTTTATGCGAACAATCTGTGGAAGATCACAACTTATAAACACATCTACAAAAAATTTCAAGTTGTTAAGCATCTGAATCTGGTTCTTTCCCAAGTTTGAGATGCAAACCAAGAAAGTAGCAATGGGAAGAAATTCTTCTAAAGCTCTTGCTAGTCCAAAAGTTTCAAAAACTCAGAAGAAGGTGCCTGAAAATGTCAACAACCAAGAAAACAAAGCCTCTCAGATGATTACATCTTCTGCTAGAAAACTAAAACCAGGTTAGTTGGTTACCCTTTTTGTTATTTTTTGACATTATTATTACTTTTTGTTCACTAAGGATTATAAATATAAATTCGGATGCTTTATGTATCTGTATCTTTTGTAACTAGCAGCAGCCACCTACACAAAGGATAGCAAGGAGAATGTTGATGCAACTAATTTAAATTCTAGAGGCATATCAGATAATAACACAAATGCCACAATATGTTTGGAAAATGATTCTTATATTGCAATCAACAACATGTCTGTGGATTCTGAGGTAATCATATATCTATCCATTTGTTGTTTGACTTTTGGATCTTGTAATTATGGATTCTCACAAAGTGAAAGTGTTTCTTTTGTAGGGATGTGAGACAACAGAATCTTTTTCAAATGGAACCATATTTTCTCCTGCATTCCACATTTCCAGAAATATTGATGGAGAAATTGTAGATGGAGGTGAATAATTAAACTGCTATTTTGCTTACATGAAACAGATTTATCTTAATATTATTAGCATAAAATATGTTTATTATTTGTGATACATAATTAGGATGTGGTCTATCAAGTGAAGTTTCAGCCATATACCAATGCATGAAAGACTCAAAGCTAGAATGTGTTGATGAAGATGACCATGAACATGAACATGATCATACATCATCCGATGTTCAAATGGAAGATGATGAATGCGAAGAATACGATGAATTTGATCCATATTTTTTTATAAAAAACTTGCCAGAATTAGCCTCTGTTGTTCCATCTTTCAGGCCTATCTTACTTCCCAAACAAACACGAAGTTGCCCTCCAACTACCCTCGTCCTAGATTTGGATGGTCAGTATTTTACTTTTTTACCCAATCTACTTTTCCTAATACAGAAACGGAAAATGACATAAAAACCCTTCAGTTCGCAAGTTTTTGTCCTTTTTACCCTTTTACGGATTTTAGGTTCATTAAAACCGGATGTTTGCATCTTTTTTCAATTGGCATAAATGTTCTGTTTTACCCTTTTTTCTGGTTCATAAAAGGGCAAAATTGAAAAAAAAAAGTTGCAAATTTGAGGTATTAATGAACCTAAAATATGACTATGGGTAAAACCAACAAAAGGCTGCAAACTCAAGGGCTTTTATGGCATTTTCCCAATATACAAAGGGCAAATTACAGGAAGTAGCAACATTCTTGCATTTCTATTTTCTTTACCAATAATATCAACATACTTGCTTTTGATAATATAGGCAGTGTATATTAATATATTTAGTTTTTTTTACCAATAATAGCAACACATATGATTTGTTTTATGGTTGCATATTATGGATAAAGAAATGTAAATTAGTTAAAGGTGTTATTGGTTTACAGAGACATTGGTGCATTCAACATTGGAAGCATGTGAAGATGCAGATTTCACATTTTTGGTGAATTTTAATCTGGAAGATCATAGGGTGTATGTTAGATGTCGGCCTTACCTGAAGGAGTTCTTGGAGAGGGTGGCTGGGCTTTTTGAGATTATTATTTTTACTGCAAGTCAAAGCATATATGCTGAACAGCTTCTGAATGTGTTGGATCCAAAAAGGAAAGTATTCAGACATCGTGTGTATCGTGAATCCTGTGTTTTCTTTGAAGGCAATTACCTCAAAGATTTATCTGTTCTTGGTCGTGATTTGGCACGTGTTGTCATGATTGATAACTCCCCTCAGGTATATTTAGGGTGTGTTTGGGTTAGTTTTTTTTTTTTTTTGGTAAAAGTGATTTTTACGTAAAGTGTTTATTAGCTTATGGCTTTTAGGAAAAACTGGTTTTAAAAAGTGTTTGGATAGGAAAAGCTGAGTAAAATAGTTAAAAAGCTAAAAAGCTAAGATTTTCCTATCCAAAAAGCTGTTTTGAAAAGTGCTTTTTAAATACACAAACACTTTTTTAGCTTATTAGCTTTTTGAAAAGCTAATAAGCTGTTTTGAAAAGTTTTGCCAAACACCCACTTAATTCCATTCATTTTCTTAATTTCTTTTTCTTTTTCAAAATTCAAATTCCAAGAAATGATAATTCACTTTCATTGGACTTTAACAAACCAATTAGGTAGTTTTTTTTTTTTTAATCAGGATTAATCTCAAGAAAGAGCTTGTATTTTGTGTATTTGTTCAGGATTAAGCCTCAAATTTATTTTTTGCCTGAAAAAGACCTTGTATTTTTTTCATTTTTCCGATCTGGCCCTTTTAGTCATTTATTTTTTCCAAAAAAGATTTGTAAAGTAAGAGGGTTTTTTTAGAGAAAAATTAAAAAAATTTATTGGGAAGCATTTAGAAGGTTGAGGTTTTTTTCGAAAAAAAAAAATACAAAGTTGAGGGTTTTTTCTGAAAAAATTAATAAATACAAGGTCTTTTTCACGCAAAAAGTTAATTTGAGGTTTAATCTGGAAAAAACACAAAATATAAGATCTTTTTTTGTTGTACAATGCCTTAATAAGAAAAGAAGGTGAAAGTACAAAAGATATAAGGTCTTTTTTGTTGTAATCAGGCATTTGGATTTCAAGTAGACAATGGGATACCAATAGAGAGCTGGTTTGATGATCGTTCAGATCAAGAGTTGGTTTCTTTATTGCCATTTTTGGAAAGTTTGGTAGGAGTTGAAGATGTGCGTCCTATAATTGCCAAGAAGTTTAACCTCAGAGACAAAATAGCTGCAGCAATTTGTCCTTTAGCTTTTGAAACCTGAAAAAACAAAACCAAAATAATCATTCAGACTTGAGTCCTTCATGGATAAATTAATGTTTCAGTTTGTATTTCAGGAGTCTGCTTTGTCTACTGCTTTGAGTCTTTTTCTTTTTATTATTTAAAAAAAAAAAAAGAATGTCTTGTTTTGAATTTGATTTGTTTTAGTTTGCATCTCTCATGTCAAGGAATAACTTGTAG